CAGCTTCTCACCTGACTTCCTATGATGTATCTTTTGTTTGAAAGTTCCCTGTAATCTAATGGCAGCTGCTTTTAGTTCTTTGAATTCACTTATTTTCCTTGTATGATGAGTTATCATGGCCATAGCTTAGGAGGACATGCTAAGCTCTCAGTCTCATTCTTGGTAACTTTTCCTTTAATTCTACATCAAGTAAGTTCATACGGATTGAACATTCTACCCATGGCAGGTATAAAGTGTCACATCCATACTTGAGATTTCATCCTTCTCTTGACTGATAGAAGTATGGACCAATATGAAGCCATACATTGTACACTGAGTCTTATGTAATGTGCTGGTAACCATCTCCATTTGGCGGTTCAATAATTTTTGACAATACACCTGCCAAGCTAGCTTTCCAAATTGCCTTCTATGGAAAGTTTCGTGTTGAAAATTCCCTACAGTTGTGACTATGACTTAGGTGTCTTTCAGAGGGACTGCTCCTCTAGTTCATGTACAAAGCAGGGCCGGGCACAGTGGCTCACTCCTCTAATCCCAACACTTAGGGAGACCGAGGCAGGTGGATAATTTGAGGCCAGGAGTTCGAGACCAGGCTGGGCAACATTGCAAAACCCTGTCTCTACTTAAAAAAAAATTATATATATACACAAAAATTAGCTGGTACGGGGGGTGCATGCCTGTAATCCCAGCTATTCAGGAGACTGAGGCATGAGAATCCCTCGAACCTGGGAGGCAGAGGTTGCAGTGAGCCGAGATTGTGCCACTGCACTCCATCCTGAGGGATGGAGTGGGACCCTGTCTCAAAAAAATAAATAAATAAATAAATAAAACAAACCCAAAAAAACAACAAACAACAAAACAAAGGTATGTTTGCTTCTTTGAGAATTGTTATCCACAGAAACAGTTCCTTAATAACGACCACAATGATTTTTAAATACACTTGCAACTTGTTGACTTGGGGAATTCCTAGAGGACCAAAAAACACACGTTAATACATCCAACTAGGTCTTACATCTGAAAACTTGGGCTATCAAAGTACAATGAATTCAAATGACCTTGATATAAAACTTTGTCTTCTTACTTTGGAGAAGGGTAATGTGATCCTTGTTTTGAGTTTTGTTTTGCTTGATATTACAGGAGAGTACACCTCGGCAACTCTCCTAGAGAACTTTCGTGTTCCCGTCTGTTTTATCCAAGTCTATCATACTTACTGTTCATTTTATGCCACTTGTCTTAAGTCAGTCCCTTTGGTTTCAGCTTCCTTTACTAAGCCTTGCATTCTTCCATTCAATTCATAGGCATACACTACTCAGTAGTCCTACAATATGCTAAGTTGACAGTTGGCAGTTATTGGGCTCTTATTATAAATTGGGTACCATTGTAATTATACGCATTAACTCACTTAATCTTCACAACAACCCTATAATTTAGGTATTAGTGTTATTTCCACTTTACAGGAAAGGAAATTGAGCCTCTGGGAGATTAAGTAACTTTCACAGCTCCTAAATGAGGAAGCTAGGATTCAAATTAAGACCCATCTGATTCCAAAGCCATCAGGACATACGGCTTCCCTACATAACTCCAGGCAGACCCTTTCTAGTTAGAAATGTACAATTCTTCAGTCAAAGGACTATATGTTCTGAAATGCAATTTGGAGACCACAAAATTAAAGATAAATAGTAGATCTAGTTCCAATTTTTTTTTTTTGTATTTTTTATGTCTGATTCTCTAGACAGTACTTGGGTTTGTTAATTTGTTTTATTTTTTTCCTGTTCTAAGAAATGCTATTTCTGCTTAAGTGCTGCTGGATTTGGAAATCATTTTCATGACTAAATATTTGTTTGCCTGGTAAGAGCCCAGCGTAGGGCTGTGCTGTCCGTAGATACTCAATAATGATTAATGGATGGCCGTGCACGTCTGTGTGGGAGTCGTGTGCTTAGGATCTGCTCAGCTTTCTGAAAGCAACAGAAATGATGTGGGAAAGATGAAAATCACAGGATTGTGATCCAACTACGATCACGGCTTTCTGGATTGGACTTCATCGTCCGGAGGGTCTGCAAGGCCCAGGTACAGGTGGAACTGGGAGTAGGGAGCCTGGTGTTTACTTGAGAGACGGTTGGGAGATGCTGCAGAAATGAGATTCCAGGGCACACTTCCAAGATTCTTATCAAATATGAGAGAAAACTTGGTTCTTTAATGAGGACTGAAGAAAATCAAATATTTTTTTAATTGACACGTTTTCTATTATTATATACATATAAAGATGATGAGTAATATGCCATATCAGATGGTTTATCCAAACTGTCGGAACAAGAGCTGAAGCGTGAGTAACTTTGCAGAGAACCTTCTGGGAAATTCAAGCAGTAGAAAGTGGCAAAAACCAGCCATAAGTTCGTTTACTACCAAGTCGTCCTTGAAAATCATGAGGGAACCAAAATGTTCCCCCAAAGTGCACAGTGAGACACTTCTAGAGGAGAGGAAGGAGACCAAGAATTTAAATCTGCTTCACTACAAAGTCAAATATCCATGTGTTGCCCAGGCTTGTGCAGTTAATAGAAAGTCTGGGGTCAGCCATGTGGCCTGGGAGGGAATGCTTTCGTCATGAATGATGACTGCTGAGTGCCTTTCTAAATCTTAGCAGAGCTTTAAAATGTGAGGGCACTCACTTGCAAAATCAAACTTGCTTTGGCGTCAGAGAAAGTAGAAGGAGGAAAGCCTCAGTTACTAGAACTAGTATGACCAGTCTCAGGCTGGGATGGGATGTATCCATATTGTGCAGAGGGGAGTGCAAGCAGCAAGCCCGTTGAATGGTGCTGATCCTCCTGGAAGCTCATTTCGGTCTCATCATCTGCATGAACAAAGGGTCCATTTCAACTGTAATATTTTATGAGCATTGATGAACATTATATGAGCATTTGACTCTAATATATCTTAAGCATTAGTCAATGGGAAAACTCCACATAGCTTGAGGTTTTGATGAGAACTTCTCCATGAATCTCTGCCTTTAAAAAACTCCTTTTGTGTCACCTACAGAACTCTTCGTAGCAATAGAGAGGCCTTATGAAATTTGATAATTTGGTGCATCAGAGTTTTAATACCCTACCCGCCCCCCTCCCCCCCGCCAGTGCTGGCAGCAAACCTCACCATTTTGTCCTCCAAAAGGAAGGTGACTTTTAAGAAGCAATCCAGAGGGTGTTAGGAAAGTAAATATTGTGGCCAGGAAGAACTTATTATGTGTTTGCTGCTTAAAAATTTGAAAATAAGGCAGCTCATGTGAATGAAACTATTATGGAAATGTGTGTACAATTATGCCCAAGCAATAGGCGCACATTTATAAAACCACTACCCTAAAATAAAAGTTAAAGGCTTGAGAAGTGGGAAGGACTGCTTTCCAATTCCAGGAGCAGTGTGGCTCTGTCAGTAACCAGGAGGTGGAGACACCCACCCCACTGGGCCACACAGCACACCTCTTAGGGTTGATTCTCCCAGGCAAGGCTTGAAAGAGCTACTGACATTTCTCTTAAAAGAATCAATGAATCTTTGTTTCCTTCTGTCTGCTCATTTGACCTTATTTTGTTGTGAAACAGAGAAGAAGAAAAGAAAGAATTAAATTGGTGGGGGGGGACTGGAGTAGGCTGGGGGGCGGGGAGGTTGAGGCACAGGGAGGAAAGGAGAAGTCCATGCTGTGACACCCGCAGACTAGATCACAGGCTGCTTGATCATCACCCAGGATGTTATTGTTTGCTTGCTGGAGTCTTATTTGTTCCTGCTTCTCATTTCACATTCTCACCCTGATGTAATAAGTCACCGTCTTCCCAGCCATCATCCTCGTATTGACAAGCAAATGTCACCTACGTTTGATTGACATCTGTTGCTCCTGAATGCAGAAGTATGATTTAGGAATCAATTCTACTTATTTATTTAAAGCCATTCTTGTGTGTCTTATGTATTTGTTGGTGGGATGACTTGCCTGATATCTACTGGGAGCTTTCCAGTAATATGATAAACCATCCTGTTCTTTCTGCAGCTCACCCACTGAGAATGGAGGCTCTTGTTTCTTGTATTTCTCCTATTTCTTCCCTCCCTCAATGTACATTTGGGAAATCTGCTATGGAGCTTATAAGAACTCTTTCCATATCCTAGGAAAAGACGTTGCCCAGCACTTGTGTAAATGCTCCTTGCTTGATCTTTTGACGCCATTTTGACAAGTGATTATTTCTCGTACATTTAGCGACTTTAAGTAAATGCAACTTCAGGTCCATTGGCAGTATCCCCTGAAAGATTGCTAGAACTGTAAGCCTGTAAGTAGAGTACATATGTATGCACTCACCACGGTGCAGCATTTGTAAAAAGGACCAACCCCCCCTCCCCCAGATGCGGTGGACATGTTCATTTTAAATCATTCAGAAATGTTATTTGGCTTTTCAACATACCTCGCTGTTCTTGGGGTAACATCTTATTCATTTAGAAGGCAGAGGAGGAAAACCATCAGGTTAAAAGAAAATCACATCTAGCATCTGGAAAATTCTAAAAGGCCCTCCTTCTGTTAAAAGTGGCATTTTGAGAAACACCTGAAGCACTGATTGTAGAGGAGCCAGCAAAGAAACATTGTCAACTCAGCCACCCTCCTTTCAACCTTCACCTCCACCCTCCAACTGGGGCTGCTGGCAGTGGGGAAATCTGGGACTTAGGTGTGACCCTTGAGCCCTGAAAGCTGTCGCACAGCTGTCTCTCTCCCCCAGGTGGGTCCAGCAGGACCTGCCATCGCTTGGTTCAGCAAGGGAGTATTCAGAATCTCACTGTTCATCCATGTGCAGAGAGAGAAAAAAAGAGAGGCCGAAAAAAAAAATCCCACATTGTCAGAGTAATGCCAAACTCTCTCTGAGTGGGATGAGCAGAGCAGATGCTGCAATGAGATGCCAAAGCGGCTCCCCTTCCTCTGTGCCTTGGGTGCCTATAAATTGCTCCGGCGCGCGTTTGTCAGCCTCCTCTTCTCCTGGCAGGTGGTACCCAGGCAGAATTCTGCCTTCAGTCTCTCTCTCGCTCCGCTCCCGGCCGTGAGGCGCTCGCCGCTGCTCGCTCGCTCCTCCACCCCAGCCCCGAGCCTCGCCGAGCCGACAGTGCCCGCCGCCGCCGCCGCTGGGCGCACCCGGGGGACGCCCGGGCCCACGCGGGGCTTTGGGGTGCGCGTCTATTCGAGTTGTGGTGGTGGCAAAGGAGGAAGAGAGAAAGGAGGCAATTTAAAAAAAAAGGCAGCGGACGGGCGAACTGAGCGAGCGAAAGAAGAGGAGGAGGAGGCAGAAAAAGGCAACTTCAGACGGAAAGTTGGTGCGAACTGGCGCAGTCTGCAAAAACGGAAAAGTCGATCGCAGGCGGCGGCGGCATAAAAGTGTGAGCGGCCCGGGCGAGCGCAGGAGGCGGCGGCTGGCTCTGCCCTCCCGGTGGCCGCGCCGGAGCCCGCTGCAGCCACAGGTGCGAAGGAGCTCGCGGGAGGCGAGGGCGCCCCGCGCACCCCTCCCCCGACCCCCACCCCAGGCTCGGGACTTCGGCTCAAGTCACTGGGCGCCCGCGCTCCCTCCCCAGCCGCAGCCTCCGCGGGGGGAGCAGGAGTCGGCAGCAGCGGCCGGCGCGCGCCCGCCCAGGGGAGTTGGGGTTCGCAGGGGGTTGTTTTCGGCTCTGAAGAGGTCCCCGCCCAACCTTCAAAATTCTGTCCAAAAGCAGACAAGAGGATCGCCCCGCGCTGAGCCGGCTGGTGGGCAGCAGGAGGCGCCTGATCGCCGCCGGGGCGCTGGGGGTGGTGATGGTGCTGCTGCTGGTGATCCTCATCCCGGTGCTGGTGAGCTCGGCCGGCACGTCGGCGCACTACGAGATGCTGGGCACCTGCCGCATGGTCTGCGACCCCTACGGGGGCACCAAGGCGCCCAGCACCGCTGCCACGCCCGACCGCGGGCTCATGCAGTCCCTGCCCACCTTCATCCAGGGCCCCAAAGGCGAGGCCGGCCGACCCGGGAAGGCTGGTCCGCGCGGGCCCCCCGGAGAGCCCGGGCCGCCGGGCCCCATGGGGCCCCCGGGCGAGAAGGGCGAGCCGGGCCGCCAAGGCCTGCCGGGCCCGCCCGGGGCGCCCGGCCTGAACGCGGCCGGGGCCATCAGCGCCGCCACCTACAGCACGGTGCCCAAGATCGCCTTCTACGCCGGCCTCAAGCGGCAGCACGAAGGCTACGAGGTGCTCAAGTTCGACGACGTGGTCACCAACCTCGGAAACCACTACGACCCCACCACCGGCAAGTTCACCTGCTCCATCCCGGGCATCTACTTCTTCACCTACCACGTCCTGATGCGCGGAGGGGACGGCACCAGCATGTGGGCTGATCTCTGCAAAAACAACCAGGTGAACGCCAGCGGGCGGCGGGGAGGGCGGGGAGGGAGCGCGGGAAGGTGCGGGAGAGAGGGAGGAGACCCCGGAAATGGGGGTGGGAGCCCGAGGAGGAAGGGCGCGGCGGCCGGGCTTCCCGGAGCGACGGCGAGGGGGGACGCCGTCCCACGCTGGAGAGGCGGGGGTCGTGCGCGCAGGAGGGCGCCCAGCGGCCTGGAGAGGGCGGTTCCGGAGTCTGGGACCCTCGATCGGTGCGCGCGCCTGCGAGCGCAACCCTCGAGGGGCGGGAAGCCGGGAGCTGGGTCCCCGGGACAGCTCGTGCGCTGGTCGCTTACGGGCTTTCTGGGGAGTGGAGAGGGCTGGGGGAGTCCGGAATGGGCGTGGCAGGGTGACCGACTCGGGGGTGGTAGACAAAGGCCCGAGGGAGAAACAAGGGCCCCGAAGGAGTGAGTCCAAGCCGGGCGCAGCCACAACGGAGGAGCGACTGTGGGGCCCGCGGTCGCCAAGTCCTTGCGGCGTCCCAGGCAGTGAAACTCAGATATAGTCAATTTCAAGGCGCAAACTCCAGTTTCGTTTTCAGCCAAAAAATAGCGGAGGGGAGAGGCAAGGCGTGCTGATAACAAAAAGAATAGTTGAGATTCGGGGGTTCATGCAGTGAAACACAGCGCGCAGCTAGACTCAGAACCCAAACTCTCTATGGAGTCAGAGGACGCTCGGGCAGGTGGCTTGCGGGGGCGACCGGTTCCAGCCCAGCCTCGAGTCTATCACCCTCTGGACCAGCCGGCCAAGAGGATTTGATTCCCTGAGCCAGTCGGCGCCGCTGCAAGGGCTACGCATGGGTCTGCAATATTCTGCTGGGGCCACTTTACTGTGGAGAAATTCGAGGTCATTGCAAAACCGAAGCTTGTTTGATCTTTTAGTCAGAGGAGGAAAATAATATTTGCAACTATCTAAAAGTGTAATGGGACCTTCTGTGCACGCTGAATCAGTAGCCACTGGGGCGAGGCCTTGCAGCCTGTAGCCTGCGGTTGGGGCTGAGTTTCTGGGTTTTAACTTTGCTTACTGAGTGGCATAGGGGATGGCCCGCGACCCTGGCATCGCCATCAAGAGACCTCCTCTCCTGCTGCAACTTTGACTTAAACGAGGTCTATTGGGCTTTAGGTAACTCGCCCCCTGGACATTCAGGGATTCTTAGCTATCACTCAGGTTTCTGTTAAGCACCATTCAAGCAGGATTCGGAAGACCTAATTCAGGGTCAGAATTCTTTCAAAAGTGAAAGACCAAACAAACAAAAAAAAGATGTCTTAAATGCGTAAGAGAGAAAGACAGAAAACGTCCTGTTCCCTACCCTATCCTACAAATAGCTAAGGGACCCTCAGGACACATAGAACAAAAAGAGGAAAAATGGCCACCAGGAGGCACTGACAGGGTTGTTTATTACAGTTGTTATGCATGAAAATAATATCAAGATAAATAAAAATTATTCACAGGGCAGTAAAACAGTTATAGGCAAATGGCTAAAACGGGCATGACTCACTGCACCAGAATGGAGCTATTGAATCACCCTCACAAAAAGGCTTATGAACAGCCCCTCAGCAGGCAGCCATGAGACACCCCTTTATTTGCAAATTGGCTCTCTTCTGACTCAAAGGTCAGGTCTGGAAAATACAATCGGGCTGAAGAGATGATTTTTAGAGGTATCAATTAAAATGAAATGATTCCAATTTTATCAGCAAATGTATAAAAATGCTCATATCTTTAAATATCTGGAAATTGCAATTGCATGAAAAAAGCAGGGATTAATACATTTAAATTAGTTTAAATGTTAACGTCTAGACTGCTGAGCCTGTGTATATTACACTGATTCCAAGAAAATAACACCAAGTAGGTGTTCTATGTGCATTTTGTTTTTAAAATTATTTCATTGTTTGGGGTGTAAAATCTTCCTTTGTATCATGCTAGCACACACATTCCATGAAGATCAGGAAAAAGAATAAGGTAAAACAGCTGACCTTATAATGCATAATGCTTTTCATTGGTAATATTAAGCTGCTGCTTCTGCAAAAGGTATGCAACAGGTAATTCAGAAAAATAAATCTATAGTGGTAAACAACATTGTTTTCTTAGTTCAGTGTGGACTATTTTGGAAAATGGTTACTACACTACTACCGTTAAGGAATTTTATCTCTAGACTAGAACTATTTTGTCAAGTCCAGTCTGCAGGCAGTTACAAATGAGAAATCTTATAAAATCTTTTCATTAATTTTAAATAACACTTCACTCTTTCTTTTCGATTATATTCTGGGTCTGATCACTTCTTAGAATGGCAGGCTCCCTCTCTGAGCTGACCTAATTTGTTTTCATAAAACAGAAACTCAGAGATCCATGTCAGCGTAACGTTCTATGGATTAAGTGGATTTTGAGAAGCACAAAAATTAAACTAAAAATTAAACTAAGAGAGAGAAATGCTTCTGGACCATAACCTTATGAGAGCCATTTTAGTTATGCTTTGTGTAGAATGTAAGATCACAGATGGAAACATCAAAGACTTGTAAATTAACCTGATGTGCCACTTAACCTTTTGTTTATGATTCCACAGAAGTACAATGAAAATGAAATTATGAGAACATCAGTGGCAATTAATTAAATTACAAATGTCACCATAAATATTATCTCTAACGATAGATCCTCACTAATAAGATAATGCTAAAACTACACAACCTATTGCAGACACAGAAACATACCCCTAAAAGGACCGCAGCTCTCATACTCTCCATGAAGCCATCAACCTAAATTTAATCCTACCTTTGTTGAAAGCCCATGACAGTGCATATTAAAGGTAAAAGTTCGACTCAGATAGCTTTACATTTGAAAGGAGGAAATCTCTTTAATGTTTGTAATCCTCTTAGCAGAAAACATGAAGAAAAATTGCTATTTGAATACAATCACTCTAATGCCACTATAATAAATAAGCCACTGTAATGAAAACTAAAACTGTTTCAGGGTTAAAAGCATAAAATAATTAAAGACCAGTTGGTACTCTTAAAAATTTATGAGTTATGGCACTGATGCACACGAAATATTTTTAAAAGGATGAGTGGTTTGTGGGTTGGTATTCACTTATTAGAGAGATCAATGACATGTCAAATTAATAATCTTTTTAGGGTTAAAGAAATATGAACTAAAGATAAAGCAGAATCTAAATAGTTATCTTGTAATAAGAAAAGATATTAGAGTAAATTTAGGTAGAAATCGGTCGATTGCGCTGAAGAAAGGATGGATTGTATTCCCAGACAGAATGTTGAAATCAGTGTACATTTAGGAATCTGGAAATAGCCTCCAGGGTGAACACATTATGAACACATTACCTTCCTCAATAGTTTGATGGCTTGAAAGAATTGTTGAAGTCACTGAGCTGGATACTAGAGCTTGAAATTTCAAGTCCTGTTATATCTTTAGAGTATGATCAGGTGAGCAGGCATACCAAAATCATGCCAAGTACACTGGAGTATGGCAATTATTTAATTGGGACAGTCTTACAGTATAGTATAGGTTAAAATCTTAGAGAATTACCTTCATTAAAGAGCAATCACACTGGCTTGATCCAACAAAGGTGGTGTAAACTGTGAGGGTAACCTTTCAGTCTGTGGAATCACTCTAATGCATTCGTAGGTTTTTGTGGTTACACCTGCTGAATGAAAATGGTGATGTTTACTTGGTTTTATGGTTACACCCTGGAGAATAAAAATGGCATTATATTTTTAAAAGGATTATTGTGTCTAAATCACATAATTTTAGTATGTCCTGTTTCTCCAATACCTTCATGTAGAAAACCATGTTAAAGCCCAATAACCATAGAATATGTCCTAAACACCCAAAGCACTGAATAAAATGTGTCTGGTTTTTAGTAATAGCTGAGGAGTATATTATGGGTTGATAACAAATGTATTACTAATATAGCTTATTAATATTTTGTTTTTAAATTTTTTCACCCATTAAAAATCCACAGATGAGAAAAAACACAAGTCATAATACCAATATCCTTCTTGTAGATTTGTTTCCCTGGGAATTAATGGGTAGATGAAATAAATGAATCAAAGCATTCAACTCCTACAAACTCATGATTAATTTTTAGAAAATATTATGAAGTCAAACTGCATTATTATTTAATGGTCAAAACGGACCACTTTACTAAATTGGCATATACTTTGGAGTCAAGGCTTCCAAGCATAATTACATGGTATATTGTTTTCATTATATTAGTGCCTATTAGTACAGTGCTAAGCAATTCTAAATCCTTTGGGTCATTTTCTCCTTTTGCTATATGATACCCAGAAAGACATTTTAAAGATACTACTCAAATGACTTTACAGGTTCAGCAGTGTTAAAGAGCCTTCTCCTTTTTTTAACGTTTCAGCATTAATGTGAGAACATATCACATGAAAATTTAATTGGAAAACCCATCATTTAAATTTTGGAAATTCTGAACTTCTGTCTCATTTCTCTCATTTTTCCAAGTGATAAAATCCAGCATATTGTACCCCAAATCATGCATTATTACATAGTGCAGGTTTACAAAACCACTAAATCACTTGCTATGTTATTCAGGGAAATGTCATTATAGTGGAATAGAAATGAAACAAGCCACAAAGTAGTTGCTTTACTGAAATAAATCAAATCTAAGTCTGCCTGTTGAAAGATTTTCCAAGGCAGAATCAAAAATATATCTAAATGAACATGAAGCCTAATTTGAGCTAAGGATCTGACAGAATGTCCACAATGCATGAGATAAGCAATTTGACTGTTTGTAAATGTCTATCAACTCACTAATGAGATCACAGGCTTACCATGGGCAGATTATAAGCAGCCTCTGTCCTCAAATCAAGCCACATATTTAGAATCTCCTAAGTGTAAGTGGATATTCAATGAAATCATTCAAAAATTCTTGAAACGTGAGAGGCCTCAGAACATGAAAATTTAGTCCCTTCTTTAAGTTTTAGATATGTTGAAGTTAAATTGTTGATTTAAATGCACATGTCATAGTTAAGTAATAAAAAGACACGATGGAAAAAGGAGCTCTGAAAACTTGGGTGATATAATCAAAGACGTATAAATGAGCTTCTGAAGCAGCCTGGTAAAGGGGGCTTTACATGAATTAGATTTGGAAAGCCCGAAATCAAAAGACTTTTTCTTTTTTTTTCTTTGTAAGTAGTAGAGGAGTTGGTATTTTCCTGGGTATTTTTAGCTATTACATACCTCAGTTTTCTAATAATTGTGGTGAACAGCTGAACTTAAGACTTGAACTTCTGTACTCATAAACAGCTGATTAGAATATTGCTATTTGGCTTAAACTAAAACGCAAAAAAATACTATTAGTTTCATTTCAAAATGTGATTGGGCATAGGGATTGAAGGAGTTAGAAAAACAAGTGATACAGGAAGATGACAAATTGTATGCATAGTTTAGAATGTGGAGTTAGAGAAGACTGCCAGAATTGTCCCCACTGAAGCACTATTTTGTCCCTTTCTGTCCTCCTCCTTACCAATGTAGCTGAAACTGCCACAGCACTATTCTCATAAAGCTCTGAGGTCAACAGGGACTTTCCTACGCTAAATTCTGTGCTATGGCAGCAAGTCAGCTTGTGATGCTGCATGAATGGCAAAAAGAAAACTTGAGAATTCTCATTTACGCATCCTAATTCTTGTCTGTTTCACATAGGTGCGTGCTAGTGCAATTGCCCAGGATGCTGATCAGAATTACGACTATGCCAGTAACAGTGTGGTTCTTCATTTGGAGCCGGGAGACGAAGTCTATATCAAATTAGATGGCGGGAAAGCCCATGGAGGGAACAACAACAAATACAGCACGTTTTCTGGATTTATTATTTACGCTGACTGATAATGCAGAGACTAAGCTTATCATTCTGAGTTTGAACACTGGATGCGTATGGCTAACGTCAGTGAATCAAGGATCCCAGGGGATGCCAATGGCAGGGCACCTCGGTTGTGTATATGTGGGGAAATCAAATGCTACCTGACTCACATCTGTATCTCTCAGAAACATTATGTAAAAAATATCAAAGCAAGATAAGCAGATGTGTGATCCACTACCGCCAAAGCAAATACTCCTTATCGTTAGTGTCCATGTGAATGAAGTCCTATATAGATCACAAATTTTTATAGACAAATCTAAGACATTGAATTATTTCTTCAATATATATGATACTTTGGTGTACTGTGATCTTGCTGCTTTTATCCATATGTCGGCTTTGGTTCTTGTGAGTTTACCTGCTTATTATGATACTTGGAGTCCATTCATAGCGTGGGGAAGAATGATTTTTACTCTGCAGGAGAAGGTCTAATTGAAATAATGCTGCTTGTCCCCAAAGAAATTGTTTGCCTTGTACTCTTGTTAACTTTAGAGCTAGACCTGGGAATGATTCTACTTCAAGCCTTAACCTGGAATTTTCTGGATTTGAGGGAATTCCCAAGCCTATGATCATTTTCACATTTTCTTTTTCTTATATGAATTTTCTTTTCTCTCTTTTCTGGTGATAGTCTTTAAAAATAGAGATTGACAGTGTATCATAGGATTACCCTCTAAGTGTGAAAATGTGTAATTATGTACGGTATTTAGAAAAAGCCCTTATGTGTCCATTTTGTCAACTGAATACATTTAGATTCACTGGGAAAGTCAGAGAAATTTATTCTTTAGTATCAAATCAAGCCGAGGCTTTTGCCATCTTTGGAACAAAAGATTATTCATAACCCAATGCACAAAGGTTTAATTTGAGCTGCTGCATACGTCACCAAGGGGACACTAGGTGAGGCCTTCAAACGGTTACTACAAGTCTGTGGCCTGAGGTTATTTCAAAATTAACAATTTCACATATAACCAATATGACAACAGTGTTTATATTTTATACAAATATCTGCTAAACATGCACACATATACTCACTCACACATATATGTTAGATGAAATGTTTTATGTACATATAAAACATATACATATAAAACATATATATATGGCTTTATTCCATAGGGCACAGTGGCTGTATAGCCTCAAAATTTTAATATAAAGAAGTATATGCATATATACACACACAAACATGCATAAATTATTTAACTTATTTTGGGTTAAAATATATTTTGAACGACAATATATGGAGTAGCAAAAACAGTTAAAACAACTTCTCTTTAAGAGTTATCTAGAAAATTAATTGTATTCGGTAAAAATGCCCTTTATTTTACAGGTCTGTAAGTTAAGGCTATGGTTGTTGTATTACCATATGCCAATCAATACTTTAACTGCATTCTGTGACAGATTGTTAATATGAGGACTGCGGACACCAAGTGGCTCTCCTTTGCAGTGTTTATGAATTATACGCATTTGAGCTATCAATTTTTTTTCTTTTTTCTCAGGTGGACTGAAGCTGACAGTACAGTAGATTTGGAGAGTAATACAAATCTTTTCTTGCTGGTTAGAACACACTGCCAAAAGCCATCTCTTCCATCTAAGGAAAAGATTAAAAATGCATGTTGATAGCTCCTAACTATCACACAACTTCCACTATTACAATGAAAAATCGGTTCCCCTTTCATTGCCTTTGAAAACTCTTTGATAAGTGGATTTCAAAAACAGAAATTTTAAAAATTTGCTTCCTTTACTGGTGAAGGACACTTGCATTTTTTTTTTATTTAAAGGAATTAATTTGTTCTCCTGGCTCATTCCTCTTTGTTACTTTCTGTTCCAATACACAGAAAGCTTGAACATCTCTGATCAGCCAAAATATCTTTTATTTAGCAAAGCTCAACTTCCCAAGAGTTATGCATGGTGTGCCTGTCTGAAGGTGGTGTTAGCTCTGTTGAAATGCCTGCGTCTGAGTAACTGTCACGATTTTTATGATTAAAAACAAACTTTTCATCAAGAATAAGGACAAATTCTAATTGGCCTTTGTGATATGTAAGATAACTCATAAATGAATCACAATGGATTTTATTTCGAATTAACTATATATTTATCAAAGAGGAATTGGCAGCAAGGGTTTGGAGAATATTTTTAGGTGCCAAATAGCATAGTGAAGATTCAACCAAAAGATGAATTTATAAGCAGCAGTGGCCATCACCTAAGTGTTTTAACTAAGAGTTTTAAAAAATGCTTTATTTACACAAAATATCAGGGCTGGATACCTTTTAAAGAGGAGGCTCTAGTATCAGGCTGTCATTTCCAATAGATCTGACCTTTTCTTCAGATAAATAAGCATTATTTTCTCTGTTTAGGTCCAAGGAAAAACACAAGGTAAAGGAAATAAAGGGAATATATATAAGGCAAACATTTCTCCTTTTTTTTGCATTATATCTTATCAGTTAATTAAATTGTGGCCTTTGTTATTATAAATGTAATGATTCATTAAACTATATTATGTAATATATTTTGACTTTTATGATTGAATTTTTATAATTCAGTAGTGTTATGTGTTCTTATACAAAGGTTGCAAAACAGCAAAATTTACGGCAAAAATAGATACCAGAAAGCCAAAGATATCAAAACCATTTTATTAGAAGAATATATAGATAGGTGGACAGCATAAAATTAACCTTTCAAAATATTTTTATCATTGTGAATTGGTAATCGTATTACAGTCAGTATCCTTTGGGGAAAAAGTCTCAAAATTTAACTTCCCTTGTTGAAGAAGCTATTTTAAAGTGCCATATTATTCATTAAGCATTAATTAAAGAACAGCAGGATAATTAGTAGGATCATCAATATTACAAGAAACATTAGATCGCTCAAGAAGGGAATAATTCAACTAGAAACACTTTACATTTTCTGAAGTAGTGCAGCTGGTAGATTAGGGAGAAAAACAACAACTCAGCTTAGGGGATATAGACTTTAAATCATTGTTTAGAAATAGGTACTTCTGTATTTATTTTGTTAAGGCAAAATAATAGGGCTCAATTAGGCTGAGTAACTCCCTAGAGGCACAGGTGTAATAGCTGGTCTCAGAGAAGGCAAACCCTCCTACTTCTCGTCAGAAGGAAATGATCTGTCATTAGTCCTAGGTAACTGATTAATAGCTCTCAGTGGACTGGAAATCGCTGAATGTTCTCCGCCAGTTTTACACGCAAGGTGCGAATTCATAAGCAACCATCCTATTTGAAAGTTAGCCATTGCTTAGGGTTCTCTATTAGAATCTTATCGAGCACATTCTCAGTTATACCTCTCAGTAACATTTTAGGAACGACGTTGGTGAGTATATGAGAATAGCCATGACCTCCATATTTCATCAGCCGGGTTTTCGTATGTATGTCATGTGCTACCAGAATTCGATCTTCATAACCCTCCTCCACCAGGAGACGCACCCTGTGAAGAACGTTAACTCATTAGATGTCATTTGTCTTTCATTTTCGCTTTTCAGGGTGCTTTTGACTTTTTACTCATTAACCTATTGTGCTTATCGTAAAGATACTGCCTTCTACCGTGGCGTGTGTACTGAGAGAACTTTAATAAATATTGTGTGGTGATGATAAAAATATTGCTGCATCCTAGCAGGAACATATCCTTATTCCATGCACATAGAAATTTCTAACCCGTGATATTTATGACAATGCCTGGCAATACCGCATTAAAGATAGCTTCTAATAGGATGTGCCAGTTTGGATGAATGACCACTTTGGCATTTCGCTAAATAACTTTGTTCTGGATTTGTATTCAGCAGTCCTCTCTCAAATGCCTCTCTCTGTGGGCCCATTTTTCAGATCTCATTCTTGCTCTCTCCTTTTATCTAGCAAATCAATATCAAGGACTATTTGTGATTAAAATAGGGAAACAAAAGGAATCTCACTACAAGTAAAATATTCTGAGAGCAAAATCAGTGGATCTGTAAGTGAGGGGCATTTGGTAAGCTACAAAGTCACTGAAAAAAGGTTGGTCAGTATTTTAACCATTTGTCCCTTTGAAGTCTATGGGAATTTTGATTTAGTTGTGGTCTCTGAGGACTGGATTCAACTGACCAATACAAATGTATTCCGTCTTCTTTCCATGTCAGCAAGATTGCTAAAATAATAAGCTATTCCTTTAAATTTGTAGTCAGTGGACTAAAGAACAGCTCCCTGACTATTCTCTAAAAATGAAATCCTCTTTGCTGTGTGAAATGCTGGAATCTGTAGTGTGAGTCACCTCCTGACAGCTACCATCTGTACGTGTCTGGACTCTGGGCAGTGTCTGTCGTGACTTCCATGGGTCTTTGATGGCGGAAGATGCCACTCGCAGACAATGGCTCTTCTCTGGGATTCTCTGAATAGTTTTTTCAGCATTTAGGTTCTAAAGTGGATCTAGACGGATGGACAGTGCCTTCCCCCAGAGGCTGATTATTTGAAAGGTATCTTTTTTGTTTCAAAAGCATTTCTTGGTGTCCTAGTACATGAGTCATATTTAATTACTACAGTGAGCAAAACGTGGGGCACTACACACACACACACAAACTCAGGCACAAAGCCCTGCCCTCCGAGAACATATATTTTAAAATAATGGAAGAATAGACTTTGTATCTGCAGGTCAAAGGAATGCAAGCACCAGCAGAGAAGAGCCATGCCTGTCCTGTAAGCGCATGGAACGACTTTTGTGCCACTACAATTTTTTGCCTCATTGAAATGTGTATAATATCCTAAAGTTCTGATCTGCAGTTACTTTTGGAACACACTCAGTTTAGGGGAATTATCTAAGATAAGTTATATGATCACATAAAAAAAAAAAAAACCAGAGAAAGATTTGACAGAATGCATACACAATGCTGAACCTTAGTGTGACAAACCTTGATCCACAACTGCAAAGAAGTATCACGGTATAGGAGGTTTCAGGAAACACTTTCTCCCTGATATTTTCTGGGAATTTTCCAAAATTTTTGCCTACGTTTCTTATCTGAGAAATAGAATTTCTCATACTACAAAGGCAGATTGTGTGGATAAAGAAATTCCTCTAAGATGTCTTGTGTCAGACCTTGATGTTACCAAATAGTGAAGTAGAATGAAAGAGCACAGAGGACAACATACTCCTACTTCAGACCGGGAATCCTTAGAGCCCGTCAAGTCAAAAATCTGGAGACTACTTATCTCAGGAGAAAGATAACGTTATGGCTCTGGACACACAATTATATCCTGACCATCCAGAAAACCTGCCCCGTCCCGCTTACACTAAAAGATCATCTCTCCTGTTGTGCCATTTTATGGAAGAACAGGAATTACAGAGATGCTGCCAGAAAAGGGGGAGCCACTACAGACGAGAAGACAAAAAATCACGGTAATTATAGAAATACAAATGAGTTAGTGTTTGCAAACAAATATTAGAGAGAGACTACAAAGTGTGAAAAGGCAGAGATATAATAAGATTTGAGAAATGGAGCAGAAGATTGAAAACAGGTGTTAGACGCAGAATTTCTGGTGCTGAACACCAGAGGTAGGCAGAAGCGTGCTTCTGTGTTCATGCCTTCAGAGGTTTAAGACTACAATGGCTCAGAAAGGGACTGATGATGCATGATGAAAACCAAGTGTGCAAGACAGCGGGGTAGTGGAGCACTTGCAACCCAAAAGGGCATTCAGTGCTTAACATGGGCTGTCCTTGGGTCAAGTGATAATGCATGGTTTAATTTAAGGAAGATTAAGCACACATACATATACATATGTATGGAATAGCACACATGCATTATATACATATACACACATTGATATTATAATAATTTTTATCATTTCCATACATCCAGAATGGCTATATTTAGCACAGTAAAGGATAAACAAATGGCCAAAAGGAGCCAAGAAGGAATGCTGGGGGAGCCATTGGTCATCTGACCCTCCTATCTCCTTCATATATGCCCCTTTACAGATCTTTTTCTTGTTCTAGAAGGTCTGGGAGCCTCATGTAAGACACAGGTGTGCAAAATATGCACCTTACTACCACAAAGGGGCTTGGGAAAAGGAAGCCAATCCAGAGTGCAAAGTTCCCATTTCCAAGATGATTTAGAAAATATGTCTTGAGGCCGGGCGCGGTGGCTCACGCCTGTAATCCCAGGACTTTGGGAGGCTGAGGCGGCCAGATCACAAGGTCAGGAGATCGAGACCATCCTGGCTAACATGGTGAAACCCCATCTCTACTGAAAATACAAAAAATTCGCCAGGCGTGGTGGCGGGCGCCTGTAGTCCCAGCTACTCGGGAGGCTGAGGAAGGAGAATGGCGGGAACCCGGGAGGCGGACCTTGCAGTGAGCTGAGATCCGGCCACTGCACTCCAGCCTGGGCGACCGAGCCAGACTCAGTCTCAAAAAAAGAGAAAAAAAAAAAAAAGAAGAAGAAATAGAACATGCATTGAGGGCATTGATCAGAAAATCATGTTTCTGAGATTATGAAAGATGAGAATGACTGAATGCACTGCCCTATTTTAAATTCCAGATGCCTTTAGGGAAGGAATAGTCTCCTCTGAGTATAAACTAACTACTAGGGCTTTAGGGAAACAGGTTCACCTGTATTGAATCGGGTTCCTTGGCAAGTAAATTAAAACAATAAAACAAAAATAAACAAAGAATCAATACATCTACTTGTCAAATAACTGATCTGAGTATTAAAAGAAAAGACAGAGCTTCATTGGTCAAGGCAGGTGAAGTCATTCGCTCATGTAGAGTTGTGTGTTGCCATCTCACCTAACTAGAGCAACATTGATTAACTAGCTTTCCCTGATGATACTAAACTTGAAGCATAGTACCATTAATGAGGTGATCAAGGGAGAATGCCAGAACATGGAGACAGCAGAAGGCATAAGGACATAAATGTCGACTTCCCAGGGAAAGATCCTCAGGATGTCCCAACTATGACCATGGGGTCAAGATCTTCCCCTCAACCCAGTGTGCCTTATTCAACTATCGACACTTGAATCTCATGGTTCCTGAACATAACTTCTCAATTCCAGCTTTGCTACTTCCATTGCAATCACTTTTCTGTTCTCATGATTATATTCTAGTTCTTGTCTGAATATCTCAATCTTCAGTTTCCTACTCTGATCATGTTACCTCTTTCTACTTTTTCCACTCATTTCTTCTACTGTATGTATGTGTGTGTGTGTATATATATATATATAATATATATATTTGAGCATATATATGCTCCACCTACTTCATTAAAGCCTGCAGTCCAGTTATTTGCCCTGCTATGCTTTCCTGTCTATCTGCCCATGCCTCTCTACGCTTTCTTCCCTCCAGCTTGGATCCCATGACCCTCATCTCAACCCCTCCTTTGTTATCCATCTCTTTCAGACAGAATCCCAACCCTCAATCTCTTTTTTTTTTTTTTTTTTTTGAGATGGAGTCTCGCTCTGTCGCCCAGGCTGGAGTGCAGTGGCCGGATCTCAGCTCACTGCAAGCTCCGCCTCCCGGGTTTACGCCATTCTCCTGCCTCAGCCTCCCGGGTAGCTGGGACTACAGGCGCGCGCCACCTCGCCCGGCTAGTTTTTTGTATTTTTTTTAGTAGAGACGGGGTTTCACCGTGTTAGCCAGGATGGTCTCGATCTCCTGACCTCGTGATCCGCCCATCTAGGCCTCCCAAAATGCTGGGATTACAGGCTTGAGCCACTGCACCCGGCCCTCAATCTCTTGAATTATTCCTGTTTTCTGCTTGTATGCACACAACTTCTCTGGTTCCACTACCAAAACGCAAAACATTTTTGCTTTTGGAAAATAATCACCAAATCATGTGCATTGGTGCCAATGCACAGGCATGCAATCATGATTTCTAGACTCAACTATGTCCCGCACATAACACACCCATGTCAAGGTCTCTCTCATTGACCCGACAGCCATTCCTAGCCTTCCTCCTGCTCTACATGGTCCTGCCCTAAATCCACTCTTTTTTTCTCAGGAGATAACCATGTCCACCTCACAGAGACACTAAAGGACATGTGTCCTCAGTCTCCTGTTTCCCTCACTAAGACTTTTATTTGCATTCACCCCATTGCTGTGTCACGCCCTCTCATTTCAATGGAGAAAGCATCCTTTCAACCAACATTCTATTTGTTCCCCAGATTCCATCTATTTGTCGCCTTAAGAACCTTGCTCTATATTTCTTATCTATCCAGAGTTTCTAAAAATCAACATCTATTGAACACTTCCGTATTCTGTACCAGACACTCAGATAAAAACTTGGAATACATTATTTCATGTCAATTCTGTAGTAACCCTGTGGAATGGGCACCACTTCCCTGGACTCATTCTCTCTGGCCCTCTCTCTGCTCTTGCTCTTAGTCACATAAACATTTCTCAACTCTTACTAGAAACTTCCCTTGATTCTTTGTTGTGTTCTAACTCCAGCCTCAACTCCTTGCTTCCCTCCGCTGCCACTTCTTGAGTCACCTCAGCATTCTCTCTCCTCTTCCTCACGGCCCACTCATTCCTCAAGCCTTTTCCACTGAGACTGCACTTACTGTTTATAAAATGTCAGCCTCCTCATTGTGAAATCCAATGGATGCTTTTCAGTCTTTATTTCCCTTGATATTTGTCACTTATTACCGGCATCCAAGCCCTTCTGCCCTGAGTCTTCCTCTCTACTGACTTCCATAACAACATATATCTCTCATGTTATCACTTTGAAAACATCTTCTCAACCTTTTCTTGAGTGACGGTTCCTACTCCATTCCTTAAATGTCTCTGTCCCCAGATCTCTGTCCTTATCCTCTTCTCTGAGTGATGTCATTCATTCCTACAGTTCAACTATCACATACAAACCATATCTTAGGGTTTCACTGGATAGCAACACTTAGATATTCCCAAACGAAAGTCTTCCTTGTCAATCTCCAATTTATTTCTCCTCCTAGATTTTCTAACTTGGTTCATTCAACCTTCATATCACCATGTGACCAAGACAAAACTAGGTAGCTATTGTTGACACCAAAAATTTTCTACTTGATTACAAAGAATGACTCCTACAATTATCTGCTAGCATCACATACAATTTTGGAAGGTTGCATTCATTTTACATGATGTTTAGTCTTTAGACCTTATACTTTTAGCATGTAACTTGAAATCACCTTTTTAATGAAAACTTTTAATAAAGCATTTCAAATATTACTGGTAGGAAGTTATGGCTTTAGTGTGGTCAACCTGAGAGAGGAACAGCTTATTTCATTAGAGGTAAAAAGAGGAAAATGTCTTTTGTTCTCTGATTTTCATGGCAGGGGTTGGGTATTATCTGTGTTTCCTGTCAGCTGCCCATCTGCACTGAACTTCTAAGGCTCTGCTAAGCTTTAGCCTACTTAGGATGACTCATTTTCTCCTTAAAATAATATAGAGAGATTTTCTCCCTGAAACAGCATAGATATATTTTTCTCTGCAAGTCTGTGGTTCAGCCTGCTTACTGTTTTCTGAATCTTTGCTAATACTTCCCTAGATATGACAATCAAAAAGGACTAGGGAAAGGGAATGCTATGAGAGACTTTACCATATTTACCTTCTAATTCTTTTGTTATCATCAGGCATGTCAATATCTGGGCAGAGTTGGTAATGAAGTAGTTCAGTACCGAAGAGGTCATATTCCAAGTAGCAGCCAAGTTGAGCAAACTCCAAGAGCTCCTTCTTATCAAGTATAGTCCTAGAAACAATACAACAGATATATTGTTATTATGAAGAGCCCATTTTCCACATGTACATACTAGAAGTTTTAAGCACACTATGTACAAGAACATAGTTGAAGTCAAGTAACAGAAACTTCTGAAATGGCTCTTAATGATGTGAGTATAAAATAGTAAGTTCAATTTGTTACCAGAAATAACAGAACTTACTCATCTAAAAGGGGGTTTTCCCCTCTAAAGCACTTGGGTACTACAGACTTAGTTTAATGATGCTTCCATTATTCCAAAGCAAGTATGGAATTCTCCCTCAGAACTGTGTTCAGAATACGCCCCCCCACACTATTTTGAGAATCCTTAATGGAGTAAATTTTCATCCTCTGAGGACTGCTATGAAGTGTGAAAACTATCAAAGGAAATCTGCCCTCAGGTCTGGCGAATTAGGTGAGTAATGCTAATCTGGGTAACACATGAGGCTTTGCCTTGTGGTAGCAGGGTGATTTTCTCGTGAAAATTGTAAAGTGGTTCTAAAATTAATTCTAAAGCCTTTAAAGAATGCCGTTCCAACAACTTCTTTAAGGCACAATACTCATACAGATATTTATGTTCTGGAGTGCTTATTTTTTAAATAAAATTTATTATTTTATGATAAATTTTATGGATATCTTCTCATTTCAATAGCTATCATATAAAGAATATAACTATTTTAGGATGTAAGATTATGTAAATGAATGGGAAAGGAGAGAAATGTAAGACAAGTACAGGCTACAGAGAAGAGTAGAGTACAGAGCAAGAGTAGATTATCTCAAGAAATTTACATTATAACAAGTAAAAAGAGATGCACTAAGGTAACCCCAAAATACCATTGTAGAGATCCAATCACACAGAGAGCTAAGAAGGAATAAAAACATCCTAGCAGAAGAACAATATGCAAAACAATGTGAAAGAAAAATATACCCCATTAGACATTTCATGAAGGGAAGGAAGGCACTGCATGGAGGGAATGAAGGAAAAATATACCCCATTAGACACTGCATGAAAGGAATGAAGGACCTACAGATTTATAAGGGATCGTTTGGGATCCGAAATTGGTCTGGAGATGAGTTGAGAACATTAGACAGTCATTGTCTTATTGGCTTTTAATTCATGCTGATATTTCTATTACTTTGGCAACTCCACGATGTGAGGATTAAAGCACTATTTTGTGGCAGGGCGTGGTGGCTCAATCCCAGCACTTTGTGAGGCCAAGGTGGGTGGATCACTTGAGGTCAGGTGTTCCAGACAAGTCTAGCCAACATGGTAAAACCACATCTCTACTAAAAAGACAAAAATGGCCAGGTGTGCTGGCTCACACCTGTAATCCCAGCATTTTGGGAGGCCAAGGTGGGTGGATCACCTGAGGTCAGGAGTTCAAGACCAGCTTGGCCAACATGGTGAAACCTCGTCTCTACTAAAAATACTAAAAATTAAGCTGGGCATAGTGGTGGGTGCCTGTAATCCCAGTTACTTGGGAGGCTGAGGCAGGAGAACTGCTTGAACCCAGGAGACGGAGGTTGCAGTGAGCTGAGATTACACCATTGCAATCCAGCCTGGGCAACAGAGTGAGACTCCATCTCAAAAAACAAAAACAAAACAAAAATTATTTGGGGGTGGTGGCAGGCACCTGTAATCCCAGCCACCCGGGAGGCTGAGGCATGAGAATCGCTTGAAACCGGAAGGTGGAGGTTGCAGTGAGCTGAGATTGTGCCACTGCATTCCAGCCTGGGTGACAGAGCAAGACTCCATCTCAGAAAACAAAAAGCACTAATATCTGGCTGGGCATGGTGGCTCACACCTGTTATCCTACAGCTCTGAGAGGCCAAAGTGGGTGGATCATTTGAGGCCAGGAGTTTGAGACCAGCCTGGCCAGCATGGTGAAAACCCATCTCTACTAAAAATACAAAAAAAAAAAAAAAAAAAAAAGAAAGAAAGAAAAGAAAAAGAAAAAGAAAAAACAAGAAAGCACTATTATGTGTCTATGAATCTACTTCTAAGAGGTCAGAAGAATTTTCAAAGCTTTTTTTTTTTTTTTTTTTTTTGAGGTGGAGTCTCCCTCTGTCACCCAGGCTGGAGTATAGTGGCATGATCTCAGCTCACTGCAACCTCCACCTCCCAGGTCCAAGTGATTCTCCTGCTTCAGCCTCCCATGTAGCTGGGACTACAGGCATGTGCCACCACTCCCGGCTAATTTTTGTATTTTTAGTAAAGACAGGGTTTCGCCATGTTGGCCAGGCTGGTCTCGAACTCCTGACCTCAGATGATCCACCTGTCTTGGCCTCCCAAAGTCCTGGGATTACAGTTGTGAGCCCCCACGCCCAGTCAAAGCTTTCCTTACAAACCACAGGAGAACCAGTTAAACCTCCGTGTACCATGGGCGCGGGAGGTGTCGCCTTTCCTGTGAGATTTATGGGAGTTGACTATTGACTTTCATTCTGAGCTATCATCCCCTGGCTGGCTCCTTTTCATTTTATTCACCAAGTTAGCAGAACTTAGAGTTCACGATGTTGTTTTAGGCAGGGAGGCTAAAACATCTTTCCTTTATACTATAAGATGTACATTAGTTCTGTGCTATCTTCTATTAATACTACTCATTTTCCATCTTCTTACCATGGAGACCATCTTTTGCTTCCAAAATTACTAGGCTGAAAGAATATGTGTTTTTCTATAGAAAACATATTCTGTTTTCCCCAAAGAACCATATTTGAAAAAAAAACAAAATATACACAATTAAAGTAACATAAGCGGGAAGAGGTAAGTTTAGTATTTTTTCCTTTTGAGTAAATTCAGTGTGTTAATTATCCAATATGGGCAGGGTACTGGGGGAGGGGAGGAGTCAGGAGGGAAATGGAGCCACCAATTACAGGTTGGATCATACTCTTGTTTCTGCTCCTAATGTCTTTTTGTTTCCTTTGGCCCAATGCCTTGAGAATCACTTTTCTAAATTTTCAGTGCTATATTGAGGCATATACTTAGTGAAAAGTCCATGGTAAATGTAAAGCCTTAGAAAAATCTTTAGCCTCAGCTCCAGCTGAAAATAAAAAGTAAAGTCACTCAGCATCATTATCATCTTGTTGACAATGAGAACTTACTATGTGTCTGACATTGTGTGAAGTGCATTACATGGATTATCTCATTTAATACTCTCCATAATCCCAGCAGGTCTCAATTTTAAAGACCGAGAAACTGGGACTTGAGCAATTAGATACTCACTCAAGGTGATGTGCTAGAATTTAAATTCATCTCAAAGTTAGAACTGATTCTCTAAACCACCGTACTGTGGAGTTTCTCCTATTGCTAAATATTGTTTTTTACTCAAAGGACATTTTCCAGAATTACAATGACTGAATGTGCACAGAGTGTGCTTTAGTTTTTAATTTGAAATTTGATTTCCTCCCCATGGTGCCCTTGAACTGCACTTGGAAAATGGAGAATTTACCATCAAAGGGTAGTATGGGGGAAAGAAAGTGAAAATCCCAGAAAAGGAAGAAGGGATTCACTTGTGGAGATTTTTAATTGCTAAGTCAGAGGGTAACTATATATAGTAAGCAGGATTAAATCTTTACCGTTATTTCAGACAATTTGAATGACATGATCAAAGAGAAAGGAACTATGGGAATCATGACAACTGCTTACTTTCTTACTATGGGGTGTGTGTGTGTGTGTGTGTGTGTGTGTGTGTGTGTGTATGTAGTTATTCATTTTTTTAAACTGACATATAGTGATATGACCCCCTCCAGATAACTAAACACTAGTGTGAAGTCAATTACGAAATGAATATTACAAATATTGGCGGGGTATGGGGGCTCACGCCTGTAATCCCAGCACATTGGGAGGCCAAGGTGGGCGGATCACTTGAAGTCATGAGTTCAAGATCAGCCTGGCCAACATGGTGAAACCCTATCTCTACTAAAAATACAAAAATTAGCCAAGCATGGTGGCTTGTGCCTGTAGTCCCAGCTACTCGGGAGGCTGAGGTAGGAGAATTGCTTCAACCTGGGAGGTGGAGGTTGCAGTGAGCCAAGATCACACTACTGCACTCCAGCCTGGGCAACAGAGGAAGACTCCGTCTCAACAACAACAACAACAACAAAAAGAAAAAAAATAGAAAAGAAAAAAAGAAATGAATATTTCAAATATTAAGGGGCACAGAGGCAACTTCCATCACCAGATCAGACCTCCCTCCTGAAGCCAGACCTGAAATGCAACTGCCCGCTTGCCATCTCTACTTGCCATGCCTAATAGTGACTTCAACCTTAGCATGTCCCAAACTGGACCTTTCTTCTGCCCCCCAAACTGGCTGCTCCAACACCCTTCCCTATCTCTGTTGACAACAACTCCATTCTAGCTGCTCAGGCCAAAAACCTCGATCATTCTTGACTGCTTTTTCCCTCTGACATTCTACGTTTAACCTATTAGGATAGCATTTGGGCTCAGTCTTCAAAATACAACCAGAATCCAGACCTACCATCACCTCCCATACTACCCTCCAGACCCAAATCATCCTGGTCTCTTGCAGGATCGCTGCCATAGATACCAAATTGTTCTCTCAGCTTTCACCTTGGCTCTATTACAGTCTATTCTACATACTGCGATTAAAGTGCCAACTCCACACCTAAGTCAGACTAGGTTTCTCTTCTGCTCAGAACCCACCAATGGCTTTCTATTTCCCTCAAAAGTAAAAGCCAAGGCCTTACAGTGGCCCATGAGGCATTATGTGATCTCTCTCCATGTGGTCTTGCAAAAGCCTCATCTAGAAGAGGAATGGGGCTGAGCGTGGTGGCTCACACCTGTAATTCCAGCACTTTGAGAGGCTGAGGCAAGTGGATCGCTTGAGGTCAGGAGTTCGAAACCAGCCTGGCCAGTATGGTGAAACCCTGACTGTACCGAAAATACAAAAATTTGCTGGTGTGGTGGCACGTGCCTGCAGTCCCAGCTGCTCAGGAGGATGAGGCAGGAAAATCGCTTGAACCTGGAAGGCAGAGGT